TTCCTACCAATATGACCGAGTTGCGAAAACAAGGTCAAACAACTTCTATACAACGAAAGGAGACTGCCACACCATCTTGGTCTTCATACCTTCGATAACTCAATAATGTTGCGAACCTGCATAACAAAGTCATTGTAATGAAGGGGAGCACATGAATTATGTAAATGTTGAAATAATAATATAGAGTAGGAAATGAGATCTAGAAAGCGACCATGGTCTGTCTAGTCTTTCAGCATTCTTGATATTTAGATCATTCGTGTCTTATCTTAAACATAAAATCCGAAAGTGATGCAATCGTACAACCGATCATAGAGTATTACTGAGCTGTAAGGGATCAACAAATGTAATATTTAATAGTACAAAGCAAGAGTGTGATCAACTAAATAAAGGAAAAATATGGAAGTGCTTCAAAATTTTCACTTGGAAATGTAACTAATTTTATAGTAATAAAATTCGCAGTTGGGCAAGTTCCATATAAGAAAGATGGTCGGATGAAAGCAACAATAGATAAATCAATTGATAAAAATGTTAGATCAAAGAATCAATAAGGTGCAATCTGCTTTCAAAGAAAGATGGTATTATTCATTTGGAGAAGTGGAATCACCTTATAAAACGCGGCCTTCAGATAATCGCTATGAGTTTTTTTTGCAAAGTGAATGGTGACTGGGAACTGACGCGACTCTATAGAAATGACGGGTGGTGGATTTAACAGAGAATCGGAATTAGATTTCAGGTCGACTAATGAGGAAGATGAAGACCAAGAAAAAAGGCGCCTATTTTCTGCAAAATCTGCCACTCTCAGTGTGGCTGACATAATGACGACTTTGAGAGGTGGAAGAGCCGTGTCAGGCTGCCCGGGACGATAGTTTCGGCGTCTAAGACGTTGAATAAGCACTAAGAAGCCTATCAGAACGTCAGTGAAAAGAGAACGCTCATGTGCCTCGTCAACGAGGATGGCTGAGTAGCGGGATAGGCGAAAATCCTGAAATGGATGGAAGAAAATAACAATTAAAGCAAAGTTTCTAACATACCTTACGGAGCAAGCATAGCTTACATTAATTACTCGGCAAGAATTATTCGAAATAACACTTCAGACTTGAACAATCAAGTTGATAAATGTGCAGCCAATTAAGAGATTAAGATTTTTTTAAATATTTTACCCCAAAGCCTTCTAACATAAGGAAAATATTAAAAATACGATGCTTATCCCATATTCCAAACATCTACAATAAGTTTCCCAACCAGATCAATAAAACTAGTAGCTGATAATGATTGAGATGGCTTAATATAACCTGATACTAACTATACTCGTTTCACTCATCTAAAGTGATACTCGCCAATCCCACCACTCACATCAATTAGTTTTGCAGACATTCTTGAAATGTGAGAAAGGGCTACCAAATTTTAAATTCCTCCCCTAGGACTCATGAAGCTATAGGCAAGGACTCGCATCGAATTTAAGATGAAG